ATATTAGGTCTGATTTAAGATATTTTTTAAAAGCACTTGCCTGAGTCATCCACATGTACCCAGATTCAAGAATTATGAGCAGATGACCTAAAAAACAAAAATTCGCTCTCTTTTTTGTCACTGGCTAATGCCCAATTCAATGGCATGGATCCTGTAGCTAATCAAAAGTAAGGGTAATTCAGAAGGAACAGCAACAAATAAATTTGTCAAATCAGTCAGGTAAGTCTAAGGTACCAATACACTGAATTTCTCTGCAAGGCCTATATTCTACTCTATCATTTTTCCTCTGCATTACTTACAATACCTTATACAATGTAAATGCTATATAGTTATTATACTATATTTTTAAAAATTTGTATTTTTTTGTTGTTGGTCTTTTAAAAGACTATTTTCCATTGCAGTTGCTTGAATCTCTGGATACAGAGGGTCGACTGTAAATGCAAGTATTTTAGTTTTATTCTCCAAACAAAAATTATTTATTTCATCTTATTTATCTTCCATTTTTGTCAATGAAAAAGTTAAGAGTAAAGAGGCAGACACTAAAAACAAGCATAAGTAGTAACAACATAAAGTCACAAGTAACCACTGGAAACAGTCACATTTAACACTAACTGACTAATGGGCTTATACTGCAGGAAAGAATACCTGTGTATTTGTTTCATTCATTCAACAAGTATTTTACTGAGCACCCATGATGTGCCAAGAACTGTGCTCAGCACCTATAGGCTTCTTAAAAAGTACAGAACGTAGCCCCTGCCCTCTAAGAGCTTACAATCTATTACTTGTTGGAAAATTAAAGCAAATAAGACACCATGAAACAAGTCAATAACTAAGTGCCAAAATAAATGAAACAGTAAGAGTTATGGGTAGATTACATATATTTTCTTTAATAATCTGAAGGGGAGGTATATGTTGGCAAAAGTTATTTTTGAGAAACTTTTGGAGAAGGCAGGATTTGAAATAGTACAACATAGGTAAGCAAAGTAAAGTTCATAGTGATACTGACCTGGGGGCAGGAGGGTAAGAACAGCCTAAGTTTGAAGTTCTGAACTAATATAATCACTCAAGACACTCTGCAAAGACCAGCCTAAGTTCAAATTAGGGAGTGTGAAGACATGCAGCCTTGAATCCTGCTTTGACATGTACTATGGGGAGGTTCTTTAAAGTTAAGCTGTGGAATTTAGATACTATGTTACAAGGCACTGAAAAGCACTGGAGATTCTAGGGCAAAGAGATCACACGCTAAAATCTAAAATTTGTGGGGGCAGGGGGGCATCCTTGAAGGAAGAAAACCAACTGAACTCGAAACCTGTTGAATAACCTAGGCATGGGAGAGTGACGACTTGGGCTCATGTGGTATCAGGAACAGAAATAAAATAAGATCTGTTAGAGCCAGCCTTACTCAATATAAGAACAAGAAAATCAAACTCATTTGTTAAAAGCAATTATTCATTTATCAGTTTACCGACCCAAGACCAAAAAAAAAAAAAAAAAGGTACTGAATAAATAGAATTAGGGAGGCAGTACTAAAGGAATTTTCTGTTCTTTTATTTCCATATCTTCCCATAAAATCTGATATCATCTACTCTTATCAAATGATCTGAACTGAATCATAGGCTGTTAGAGCTGAAAGGGACCTTAACTCAATTACTGTACTCTTCTCATTGATAGAGGAAAATGAAGACTCAAAGTAGGGAGGAAAAAAAAGGGCCAGCTAGCAGGACTCTCTGGGGCAAAGGCATAATCATCTGTGATAAAGATGGCAGGACTTGCACGTCCTTTGTGTAGAAAAGACAAAAGAGTAAGACATGAAAACATTATTTACTGTGGACACTGAGGAAGAAGACAGCCTCAGACATAATTTTATTTTGATAGAAATCGCTACAGAAAATCTTTATTTTTTTGAGATAGGGTCTCACTTTGTCACCCAGGATGGAGTGTACGGTGCAATCTTGGCTCACTGCAGCCTCGACCTCCCAGGTTCAAGCAATCCTTCTGCCTCAGCCCCGCAAGTAGCTGGGACGACAGACGCACTCCACCACACCCAGCTAATTTTTTAATATTTTTTGTAGAGACGGGGTTTCACCATGTTGCCCAGGCTGGTCTCCAACTCCTGAGCTCAAGGGATGCACCTGCCTCCGTCTCCCAATGGGAAATTTTTGAGTACTGTCATTCAGCAGGGAAAATTCTTTATCTTTCTTTACTAACATGATGGTTTTTTTTTTTAACCAGTGATCCCTCAAAGCATCTTAAATCACATATTATTTAAAGCTTTAAACAATCTGTAAGGTCTCTTTCAGCTATAAGATCCTATAACTCTAAAATTATGACTTTCCTATAAAGTTCTATAGAGTAAGAGGCGAATTTAATCTACAAGATAGAAAACTGAAATAAACCTGAAAGAATATTAAGCTCAATCTGATAATCATCAAATATTTATTACTACTAAGAGTCAGCCTAAATGCATGAGATGGAACTCTAGGTCATCTCATGAATAAGAAAAAAAAAATTTGAACACACTACTTCTTTAAGCTAAATAGCTTGATGCATTTGAGAAATTATGAACCCTGGCTTCCGTACATCATTAAGCTATCCAGTCTGCATATTATTTTACAAACAAGTTTTATAATTTCATGTCATATTGGTAACATTCCAAAGACCACAATTATTTGGCAAGTAAGACTGCCACCAATTTTAGTCTTTAGCTAGTCCCAGCATGAGATGTTCATGAAAACCACTCAATACATGAAGGATTTCATAACCTTCAGTCCCAAAGTCTAAAGAATTTGTGAACTGACTTTTTAAAATTGCATGGCAGAACCCTCCCAACTGTCACAACTGTAAATGATACAGACAGACATCCTGCTTCATCTCAATTATCTTCTGACCACTTACTACTTCTGAGTACTTCTGAGAGTGGCAGAAGAAATAATGCAGGAAAAAGATCAATTGTGCTATTTATTATCACCTTTAATTTTTAAAGCAATGTTTACAGAGTTTCAAGTAAGATTTCCGATTTGAGAATTCAAATTATCCATGCTCTCCCAGTCCGTTTTAAAGCTAAAATAAGAATTTTTTTTCCCCCAAGATTTGGGCCCCATATTTGTTAGCAAAAGGGAATTATATAAATCTTACAAAAACAGTGGAGATTCTTTTGGGACTTTCAGAGCATAACTCCTACTAAAACATTTATTAATTATACTAACAGGAGCCTTCAGAGGGAGAAGAATTCTAAACATCTAAATAATTAGGTCTACTTAAAGGCACATGGCGTATTATTAGCCTAGGAAAAAGTAGAAGGAGACAACACAAAAAAAATCAGTTATTTGAATGGATGTATACCAAGTAAACTTACTAGAAAGATGGTCACTGATATAGCTACAGAGAAAGGGCCATAAAGCAAACTGTGACCAGCTTATGTCAATGAGATACATGAAAGTACTTTTAAAAAATAAAATCTGCATTTTTTTTTTTTTTTTTTTTTTTTACTAGAAATATGACTAGCTGGTATCTTGGTTTTGGTAGTGCAATAGCACCATTACAGCAAGGGTAAGCAGGTCAATCCCTTGCAAAACTTACCTTGATTGGCCCAATGGAAACAGAAGGCCCCAGAAAAGAGAGAAGCATCTGGCAGTAGCAAATTGTTTTATTTTATCTTTCTGTGGAAAGAAACTAATTTTAAATAAGAACCAGAGCATTTAAAGAATAAATATTTTTAAAGCTCATTATCTAGTTAGAGCAGCTCTACCAAGAAAACAAGAAGAGCTCCTTGCTGCTTAGAGATGGAAAGAAACAGAAGAGGAATCAAAGTTGTTTCTCCATCACCTAGAGAGTTTTAAAATTTGTGTTATTCTAAAGTCACAGAATAAAAGGCTCTTTTATTTAAAGAACTCCTGCAAGCAGAATCTTTTGGGGCTGGTGTCTTTGAATAAAGGTTTTTTTTTTTTTTTTTAAACAAAATTAAGGGCAACATTCCAAATTAAAAAAAAAAGAGGAAAATCACTTGACATTAAGCCCTTCTACTCTTAAGGTTAAGTAAAAAGAGACAGACACATAGCAAGCTCCTTTTCCCACTGCAATTTCACCAATAACTTTAACCATGAAAGCTTAAACAATTATCAAACAGTACTAATTAGCAAAAGATCACATGAAATTGGCTTCCAAAATATTTTGTTAGCCTAAATTTTTGATGATTTATGGAAATACTCAAATGGAAATAACCCAGCCACCTAAAGATCTATATAGAACTTAACATGGAGCACAAAATTACTCATGGTAACTGAACCTGTTACCTTTCTTAGATGCTTCTCTAGAAACTCAGTTCTACCGAAATCACTGAATCAGCATTAAAACCTTTTGATCCAAATCACTTCTACAAAATGTCCATTTACAATTTATGCTAGAGATGGAAGGGACAGCTCATAAGCAGGAGTGTAGAAGCAATAAGCATTAAAAAAAAATAGTGTAAGTGGAAAATGAAGTACCTACTGGCACTGTCCTATGAAGAATCAGAATTATAGAGCACAAACCCCCCACCCTCCCTCACTCTCCTCCAACACACACAGAGGAAGATATTTCAGGAATAAAATTCGCTCTAAACCAAAACAATTGCTATTTTCAGATTCTATTTATTTACATGGTCTACCAAAATCAGTTATGTTGCTGTATCAGATAATATTTACTTTTAGACCATTAACTTCAATTGGCATGGTTGAAAAAATAATCATTAAAAATAAAAGCCTGGACGCACACTTTACTTTTAAATAATAATAAAAAAAAATTCTTAGTTTTGAGGTAATCAGTAAATTTCTCAGGAGACTTTTTCATTACATTCAAATTTCCATTACATTCATGATTCAACATTTGGCTTATTTAAAATTATTCGGGCATAAACTAATCCTTAAACAGCTATAACTATTGACCTAGATTTTGAAATCTTGACAGAATACCTGAGGCAAAAACAAATAAATAAATGCAAAATAAAATAAAAGCATTCTTACTTGTCCCATTGGTGGCCCTCCCATAGGGGGCATCATCTGTGGCATCATTCCATGAGGTACAGGAGGCATATTCGCTCTCTGACCCATAGGGTGCATTCCCATTGGGGCATAATGCATGCCAGGGTGCCCCATCTGAAAAACAGCGAACGTTTTTAAATGAGCAAATAATACTAAACGCTTCTCAAAAATCTCATTTCAACAAATCAGTTATCTGAAGCAACCTAATATTAAGCTTATGCATAATAATGTCACTGGATTAATCTATACCTTGTTTTAAACAAAATGCATTCTGCTAGTATTTAAAACGAGCTTGCAAATTCCGCAACAAAACGGGAAAAGTTAAGATGATTACTGGACAGCTGGATCATAGGTTTTCTCTTTTTTTTAAGCATTGACTTAATCAGCTACTAACTGGCTTGCTAAGCTTGGAGGATACATATTGAATACTAATCTTAAAACTGTTACAGTGAAAACAACAATTCTTCTATTTCATGCAAATATAAAAAATAGCCAGCTATTGTTATTTTATAACACTACTGATTTTAAACTTTAAAATGCTCTATCATATTAACTCAGGTGAAAGTCAGTCTTATAAAACACAAACAGTAGTGCCACCCAGGGACAATTCACTCCTAACAAACTTATTTCCTAACATAACCTTTAAGACAGGTAAAATTCCTTCTGTCAAAAATACATTTTTAACGACTGAGGTTCTGTTACTCACGGACACTAAATGCAAACAACTAATTCATCCCTTTCAACGCAATTTAAAAAGACAACTACTTTCTTTACCGATGAGTCCATTGTTCCATGTTTTAAATTAAAACCAGCTAATTATCTCCTGTCAATTGTCCTAACAGTTCCCCATGCAGACGACCCCACAAGTAATGAAAACAAATTTTGGCAGCCGCTGTTAAAGTCTTACAGAATCAAGCCCCTCCCTCCCCCTTCCAGCTAAATCGGGCCTAAAGCTCCAAGACGCTCACCCCGCCCAAGAGCCAGCACCTTCACCACGCATCTGTCTAGGCCAAGCCTACGGGGTACTTCCAGGGTCTCACATCCTTCTTTGTGCATCCCCACCCTCCACTTCTCTCCCTCACAACATATCCCACCATCTCGAGTTCTTCCTTCGTCCACTCTTATCTTCTTCTCCTTTCGGAGAAAGCTTCCTGTTTCTCTCACTCCGTTTTTCATTGTGCCGCCTTCCCCCTGCCCCACTGATCCCTTACCGAGGGCCGTCTCCTCAGGAAGCCGTCAGCAGAGACCCAAGAGCCGGAGCAGAGGCTTGAGCCGGACAATCTCCGCTCCCCGTCCCCAGGACCCTGCGAGGGAGGATGGCTCTCCATTTCACTCACCATGAGGCCTCCACGTTCAGCTCCCGTCCCCGGCCTCATCGTCGGGCTCAGACTGCTCCGCCGGCGGCCACTGCCGCTACACATACCAACAAGAAGCGATCTGAGTGGCTGGCGCCCACTGGGGCTAAAGGTTAAAGGCTGCCCTGCGCTACGGGGCGGGATCAGCGAGGCCAACAGGCTGACGGGCTTCCCCGCTGTCCAATCAGAATGCGCGGCCGACACGCAACTCTGCGGCGATTCGCCCGCAGCCTCAGCCTCACTCGGCGTCGCCTGCATGGGGCGGGGGGAGGACGGAGGAAGTTTCTGCGCCGAGTCCTCCGTCGGGAAAACTCTACCAACTTCCCCAGGGGAAGGGAAGACAACCGTGTCCCAGCTTCCCGAGCTTAGACCGCCTCACCCCGTAGGGGGTGGGGCAGTGGGGTCTGCCACCTTCCCCCTCCCCGCCCGAGTTACGTACGCCCCACAAACCTGAGGCCGCCAGGGGTAGGGTGGAGGGGGCGGGGGTAAGCAGCCTCTAGTGTTAGCGGTGGCTGGGACCGAATGCGCGCGCGCAGTGCTCGAGGCGGAGGGGAGGGGGCGGGGAAGGCGAAAGGAGGGGTTCCGAGGAGAGGGTTCGAGCTCGGTACGCACCAGGTGGAGAGCGCGCGCCTGGGCGGAGGAGGAAGGAGGCGTGTCGAGTAGCGTGAGGGAAGTTGTGGTACGGGTGGGGAGAACCACACTAAAGGGAGATGGGGTGAGCAGTGAAGGCACCGCGAGAGTACCAGGCAGAGAGCTGCGCTTTCTTAATAGGGGAACCTGGAGAAGAGTGTGAGCGTAGAGGGGAAGAAGGGAGAAGGCAAATAGGTTCGGGAATGTGTCGAAGGCGCGGGCGGGCGCTAGGACCCGGCGTCGAAAAGATGCGGCTTTGGGGCTGTCGGGTCTCGCGCTCCCGTTGGTGACGCGGCAGTGGCGGAGGTCTCCGGCAGGGATGAAGCGCCGCAGGGAGTGGATACTCGGCCGCCTTCGGCCTCCGCCCACTTCTCGCTGCGCGCTTTCCTGCTCCCCCTTCCGGCTACAGCCCTGGGGTCGAGCTCTGGTGCAAGCGCATCCCACCTCTCCTCAGGCCCTACGACTTCCTTTGCAACCCGCCGCCCAACCTTGCTCTCCGTGGTTTACCCCTGGGTTCTGAGGCATGGTGGTAGCGGCCACGGCCGCGGATTGGCTGTTGCGGACCCGGGGCGGGGCAGGTGGGAGAGGCTCATACTCCGCGGGTTTCGCTGTGCTTCGCGCCATGTCGTTAGCGGAGAGCGGGTGGCGGTCGGCTCTGCGGCGCCGCCGTCCCGGGACCCCGGGCCCTGTGGCTGGGCCAACATATTCCTCCTTTACTCAGGGGGACAGTTGGGGTGAAGGCGAAGTCGACGAGGAGGAGGGATGCGACCAAGTGGCCCGCGACCTGCGGGCGGAGTTCTCGGCTGGGGCGTGGTCAGAGCCCAGAAAGGGCTCGCTGCTCCCGCCGGACGGGGACGGGTCGCCTGTCCTGCCAGATAAGCGCAATGGTATCTTTCCCGCGGCCGCGGGCAGCAGAACCCAGCCTCGGCGGTGGCCGGTCCAGGTCCTTTCTATTCTCTGCTCGCTGCTCTTCGCCATCCTTCTCGCCTTCCTCCTCGCCATCGCCTACTTGATCGTGAAAGGTATTGAAGCCGAGGCCTTGAAAGTCTGTCCAGAGTAAAGTTGAGTCAGGGTGTGGCTCTTGCCACCACCCTTCTCCCTTCGTGCTGCCTAAGCCCGCAGGGTGGCAGCTGCTTTCACCCAGAGTCCTCATTTGCATCTTACTTTGCTTTCCAGCCCTTTTGTAAGTGGAGCGTCCTGATCCGTGATCAGGAGACCCATTTTTAAAAAGGATCTTTTGATTAAATGGGTACTCTTGAAGAAATATCTTCAAGTCCTTAAACACGGGGGATGAAATACTGTCAAGATTAAACAAAAGGCGAAACACCCACCATTAAAAGGAGACTGTGAAAAGTGCATATAATTAAAATAGGCTATCTATGTTCAGTGGCCTTCATCCACAAATAAAGATGTGCTGTCCACCAATTCCTCTACACAGAATCCTGAGGGACAAAGATTTTTATCGCATAGTCCAAATTTCTACTTTTATACGTAAAATAATTAGCCTTTCAGTTTTTAAGTTTGTGTCCAGGTGTAGTGCACAGAGTTCTGTTGCAGGAAGCATAGTCCACTCTTCCTCTGATAATTTTATTAGAGGAAAATAATAAAAGTTGAAATACTGGCCGGTTGAAAGTTTATTGCAAGGCGTACGGTTGTATAATTTAGTTGGCTAGTGTATGTTATAGTGGAAGGAAGCAGAGTTAAGTTTAAATTTCCATTCTTACTAGTTTGTGACGTTTGCCAAGTTACTGAAAAAAAAAACAAAAGAACTTTCTTGTATGAAAAGCACCCAAAACATTGTCAATGAAGTGTTATATTTGTACTTCATTAAATATAATTAAATCTATTTAACTCCATTTTTTGTCTTCATTGCTTCCCAGAGTTTAGTGGGCTGCAGATGGCATGGCATCCGAAACCTTACAATGCTTGATTTTCATGCAGGAGACACATTGGCCAGTTGATGTAGGTTTTACCTCTTCATAAAATAGTAAGCTGTGAATGTGCATAAAATGCAAACTGTCAGTCTTTTTTTTTTTTTTTTTTTTTGAGACGGAGTCTAGCTCTGTCGCCCAGGCTGGAGTGCAGTGGCCGGATCTCAGCTCACTGCAAGCTCCGCCTCCCGGGTTCACGCCATTCTCCTGCCTCAGCCTCCCGAGTAGCTGGGACTACAGGCGCCCGCCACCGCGCCCGGCTAGTTTTTTGTATTTTTTAGTAGAGACGGGGTTTCACCGTGTTAGCCAGGATGGTCTCGATCTCCTGACCTCGTGATCCGCCCGTCTCGGCCTCCCAAAGTGGTGGGATTACAGGCGTGAGCCACTGCGCCCGGCGCAAACTGTCAGTCTTAAATGGTTGACTACCAATGTTTCATTTCTTTATCATTCCCCTCCCCCGTTTTTTACCTTTTTTTTGCAATCCTGATAGTTTTGTCTCCTAGGTGGTTTGTTTCTCTTTTGCTCGGAGACCTTGCCTTTGTATCATAAAGTCACAAAACCATGATAAGTGGAATTCCATTGCAGAGGACATTGTACCGTGCTTATTTTGAAGAATGGAGAAAGGAACTGAACTCTGCCTAGTATGCCCTTTAGTGTTTACAACTACCTTCGGGAATAAACAGTACTCTCATTCTATGTACAGTATATGGCTGTTAGCTCCCTTAGTGGTCAACACATTCACTTGCTTGCTGAAGGTCATATAGTTGGTAAATTGAATCAGAATTTGAACCCAGTTCTTTATGTGACTCCAGAGCACTTTCCACAGCTTCTCAATGCCTTCACAGCCCTTGAGGTACTTTTCAAATTACAATATTACTTTCCTACCTAAGTCCCTCTTTGTATTTGCAGAGTTGCATGCTGACAATTTGAAAAATGAAGATGTTATAGACACTGGATTATTAGGTATGGAATTAATTGTTGTTTGCCTTGGTTTTGAGTTCACTTTTGTGTTTCCAGATCGTGTTTGAACTAAATTTGGGATAAAATACTTAATATATTTCTATGTGCAGTCATTCAGTCTTATGTTTTTCATTTGCATATGTTGGTGATAAATGTTACTAGATTTCCTTTATATATGTGAAGTATGTGTATACATATATGGTATATTTGGTATAGTTTTTTAATGGACCAGGTCCAGTGGTTCACATCTGTAATCCCAACACTTTGGGAAACTGAGGCAGTAGAATCACTTGAGCCCAGGAGTTCGAGACCAGTCTGGGCAACATAGTGAGACCCTGTCTCTACAAAAAATAAAATTAGCAGGTGTGGTTTCACTCATGCTTATAGTCCCAGCTACTAGGGAGGCTGATGTGGGAAGATCACTTAAGCTTGAAAGTTCAAGGCTGCAGTGAAACATGATTGTTACACTGCACTCCAGCCTGGGTGACAGAGTGAGACCCTGTCTAAAACAATAATAATTTTTTAATGGGTACTGGTGTGTGTATATACCACACACACTAGTAATACATTTTTAATGCAACTGCATGTGACTCAGGTCCAAAGAATATTTAACATTTTCTAATTACCTTCTGGAAGAGGCTTCCCACAACTCTTCTCAGGAATTTAAAAACAAAAGAACTTCTTCACTAACTTAGCGAAGGTAAATAATGTCTTACGTAGGCTTCAGGAGGAATTTAAGTTCAAATATTTTTATGTGCACCTTTTTTTTAAGCATTGACCATCCTTGCACAGGTTAATGAGTCAGACCTCAGTTTCTACAGTGTCTGTAGAATGCTATATAGTTCACAGGTTTCCAGAGAAAAAGGTTATTCTATATTTCTCTCCACCAAAATGATTCTGAAGAGTTAAAAACTTTACCTGTCCAGCATATTTTACTCCAGTTTGCTTTGATCACTCTAGATTGGGGAGGGGAGATCAAACTTAATCACTCTACATTCGATCAAATGAGTCAAGTAAGTCATTTGATATGATCACTTTAAATTAAATCATTTGATTTCGTCACTGTAGATAGGTGGTTGAGATACTATGACACATGTCCTCCCCTCTCCCAATCTTTCCTAAACCCTCTAATCTACCACTTTATGGCTAATCACCCTTATGGTGACACTAAGTATAGTGTACCTTATTTTGGCAGAAGGGGAAAGAAACATGAACCCTTTATCTTCAAATTGCAAAGAAGTTGGTTCCCTAGATATTGCATGGAAACTTTTGTCTGTTCGTGTCAACTTCTTGCATGAGAAAACATACTTTTTAGTTACTCATTTTATCAGTGTACGTTTTTACATTGTTTTATTTCTGAAAATAAACCAAGATTATTAGGTTTCTCAGAGCTTTTATTGATCTGTCACCTCTTGATGCAGTGGAAACAGAATCTTATGAACTAGGCATGAATTCTAAATCTTTTGCTGTTTAAAAGTTGTCCTGATTTCTCATTTAGGAATAGAACGAGTGGCAGTTGTTGTCTGAAGGAATGGCTTGCTCAATATCAAAAGGAATGTGATAGGTCTTTTGACATGGTCCTGCTTCCTTTTCCACTTAGGATTAAATAATCCCATATGGCTTTTAGGTATGCGTGATAGATACTTAATATTTTTTACAGCAAATAGGAAAATCATTAAGATTTTGCTAATGGCATGAATTTACTATCAAGGGTCAGGAATGAGCAGAAAGCGTTGTATCTTTATGGTGAAAAAAAACCCAATAGCTATGCCAAAACAAAGCTCATTATTTTGAGCCAGTGTTCCAGTGGTCAGATGGAGAATAAAAATAGTTAATATCATTTAATGGGCTAATTCAATGAGTTTCGTGGGGGTTAATTTTAAAGAATAGTTATAGCAGATGTATGTGTTATAACATGTGGATAGAGAATAGTCGTCTCTACCAGAAGAGGATTCTTAAAAATCTGTTTCAGTGAAACAGGGCCAAGATGATTAAGCTCTTATAAGATTGAGGTGATTGGCTGGGTGTGGTGGCTGACACCTGTAATCCCAACATTTTAGGAGGCCGAGGCGGGTGGATCACTTGAGGTCAGGAGTTGGAGACCTGCCTGGACAACATGGTGAAACCCCGCCTCTACTAAAAATACCAAAAAAAAATTAGCTGGGCATGGTGGCACAGGCCTGTAATCCCAGCTACTCAGGAGGCTGAGGCAGGAGAACCACTTGAACTGGGGAGGTGGAGGTTGCAGTGAGCCAAGATCGTGCCACTGCATTCCATCCTCTGAGACAGAGCAAGACTCCAACTCAAAACAAAAGATGGAGGTGATTGTGGTAACACCTGCTTTTTTTCTAAGCTGCAATTCTCTACCGTTTTCAAGAAAAATACAAGTTAGCCTATTTACAGAATGTTTTGAATTGACTACTGTCCTCTGGTTAAAACCCCTCTTGAGATAACTGATAGCTGAAAAGGTAGGATGGTTCTCTCAAACTTGACTTCCATCTAAATCAACACTGAGTTGATTAACTTAGATATCAAGAAAAATTGCCTCATTAGTTTACCCCTGAGGAGATGCCTATGAAGTTATATCCTTTTTACAGTTAATAAGAAAGTTTTCACTTGAAGAAACAATTTGAAATATTTAATAAAATGTTGTTGAGCCGGGCGCGGTGGCTCAAGCCTGTAATCCCAGCACTTTGGGAGGCCGAGACGGGCGGATCACGAGGTCAGGAGATCGAGACCATCCTGGCGAACACGGTGAAACCCCGTCTCTACTAAAAAATACAAAAAAACTAGCCGGGGGAGGTGGCGGGCGCCTGTAGTCCCAGCTACTCGGGAGGCTGAGGCAGGAGAATGGCGTAAACCCGGGAGGCGGAGCTTGCAGTGAGCTGAGATCCGGCCACTGCACTCCAGCCTGGGCGACAGAGCCAGACTCCATCTCAAAAAAAAAAAAAAAAGAAAATGTTGTTGAAGTCATCCATTACGTTTGGGAAAAGTACCATGCAGCCTTTTATCAGATGATAATGATTTTATTATATTTCACTATTTATTTTGCCCTGTTTATTAGGAACCTCATAGCCAAATGTAATAATGTTTGATTGTTTTGTATATTGCTCTTTATTTTATGGCATGTTTATTATTGCCTATACATGCTGTTATCTTAATATTTCCATGACTCATATTTAAAACTTACTGCAAATTGCCTCAATTCTTTGTTTGCAAGTAGTTTGGTTTTGAGAAAAAGCAATGTGAGCACAGTAACTGCTCTACCATGAAAGAGTTCTCTTTATATTTCTAGACAGACTGATAAAAATTTTGTACACTCTAGAATTTAATTGCAATTTAATCCTAGTCCAAGGTTGGCATAGCACTCAGTAAGAACAGATTATAGCAGCACAGTTCTCATTTTGGTATGGGTAACAATCACTTAGGGACTTGCTTTTTAAAAAGCACCTGTAGATTTTGTTTCAGCCATCATGATTTCATGATACAGAACGTTAGAAGTGTTAAAAAATGTCCAAGAGAGGATGTATTGGAGGTGGCCCATTCTCTTAAAAAGACACAGGTTAAGTAAAACTCAGTTTCATCCTTACGATGAAAATTGATTGAAACTCTGAACTTGAACTTTTTAGCCAGTGTGTGGACTTTATTATTTGAACCTATACTCTATTAAGGGAATGCTAGAGTGCTATCTGCGGCTGGGTGGGGTAGCTCTAATATTTCATCTAGAAAGTCACAAATATCCTGTAGCACAATGTTTGTAAAATTGTATTATGTATTTGTATTATTTAAGAAATAATGACTGAGACCAAAAAAAAAGAAAAAAAAAAAAGCCAAAAAGGACTGGAAGGATATAATCAAAATGTTAGTTTATCTGGGTTTCCAAATTGATTGGTTGTTTTTATTATTTTTATTTTCTACAATGTGTAAGTGTAACTTGCAATGAGTAAAACTTTGATGAAGGGAAAGCACAAATTTAAGTTTAGAGAACAGTATGTTTCAATAATTAACAATAACACCTTTTATTGCACTTTTACAGTATGCCAAAAACCATTAATTTGTGTGTTATTTCCTCTAGTATTCTCAACTACAGTGTATCCATCAATGTTATTTTCTTCTAAACTAAAACTCAAGGAAGTATATGTTATAATTTTTATGCCATAGATAGTCTAAGTAGCATAGCAAGGCAGAAAAAGAATGGGTTATCAGCAAGAATTAGCCATGTGCAGCTAAATTATTAGTCATGAAATCATTACAGGACTCTTCTTAACACATAAAAGCGGACAGGGCAGATGTGTATACAAAGGTGATTTGGAAGAAAATGCAAAAAAGAAATTATTGGGTTGACCATTTGAATTGTTTGTAATCTAAAAATGAAAATGTGTTACAAATTATGGAGCAAAGAAGATTGTTGTCCTCTTTTCATCAAAAGTCATGAAAGGCTTAAACATTCCTTCAAACATTGTGTTTTGGTGATGCAAATGCAAAAAGAAAAAAGCAGGAATAATGACAAGCTGTAACCAATTTGAGATGTATCTGAAATCTGGAAGTGGTATTTACAAGATGGATATGTTGTAGATTCATATATGAAGTTAATAAGCAATTATTTGTATTCAGGTCATGCCCATTTTTGGTGTACGTAACTTTAGGGAAACTGGGAATTGAAATTCAGATTTACTGTGTTTCTTATGAAAATTTTTAACAAAGTTTTTTTTCCTGCTGTCTTTTTGCTCTCTAAATTATTCTTCAAGTGTCATGAAAATAAAGGAAATAAAAAAGCCTTGTTGGACTTATATGGTAAATAAAAATAGTGATGAGTGTTTTCCCTGTTATACTGAAGATTACAAGCTTCAGAGGAGAATATAAATTTAACAGGATTGCTCTTGAGTTAATTGTTTAAAGCTGGATGACGGGCATATGAGTTTTATCATATACTTCTCTCAACTTTTTTTCTGTGTTTGAAATAACCTGTAATAAAAGTGTTGGGGCTTTTTGTTGTTGTTGTT